CGCCTTCTCCACTGCCTCACGCGAGTTCACGCTGCCCCTCGCTTACTCTCTCTTACCCGAATCCTTGGCGGTACAGTGGCGATCAGTGCAAGCCGGGAAAGCAGCGACGGGAACGTGGTATACAGGGATTTCCAAAGTTCTTTATTTGAATTGCATGTCCTCCTTTGCTGCACCCATATTCTTATTCACACAAATCATAGCACCATTCCCAACTAGTCACATCCTCCTTCTTGTAACGAAAGATGATGAATCTAAAATTTTTGAAATAAATGTCTAAATCCTAAAATAAGAATTTATAAGTTCAAATCACCTAGTCCAACCATCCTCCTCGCAAGGACTGAAGTTGACTGAATCTAGTAATTTCTCTAAACGTTCAAAAGTCCAAATCATTTCTTCTAATCTTCCTCTTTGTAAGGACAGGAGTTAAAGACTTATACCCCTTTCAAATATAAATGTTTAAAATATTTAATTAGCCGATGATGGCCGTGTTGATCTACGATTTCAACCAGATAAGTTAATCTTTTAAATCAAGATTTTTAAAGTAATCTAAATACTTAAGTTAAAATAAGTCAATAAAAGCTAAAAACAAATTACACCCACATTCCGCAACGGTTTGTCGAGGGTGACAAATTTTTGATTGATTTCAGCTTACAAAGAACGAATGTCGTATCAAATGCACCTCTGTTCAAAATCAAAGCAATCACATGTCAGTAAGGATGTGGCCCAAGTTTTCTGTCTGTGTGGTTCTGCCGCCAAATGACACCACAAAATAATGGTTACGACTAAAGTCATCTGACATAGTGGTTACCGCCAAATGACACTATTAGATCACGACCGCAGTCTGTATGTTCTCCAATGTCTTTCTACCCTTTGAATTGCAATTTAAAAATGTACAATTGATTGTCATAAAACCTTATGTTAGCTAAAGCTGACTTAAATTTGTCTCAGAAAAATATCCACCCTAGATCTACAGGGATCTCCTAGACAATGCAACTCATTACTGCTGACAATAATCCTTCTTACATGTTCGGCCAGCTACCTCCTCAAACTAAGTAGATCAGGGACCACGACGACTCGAGATGACGAAACCATGGGATTTTGATCGGGTTTATTCTTCATTCCCCCACCATTCACTTTAAACATCAAGCGATGAATTCTACAACTTAAATCATAAGTCTAATGCTATTATAATATTCAATTATTACTCATTAGCCTTAATTGAAAGTGCTAGCCTTAATTGAAAGTGCTCTCTTGTTATTTGGAGGGGTAATTGACCATAGAGGCTTGCGCCTATGGGAAACATTGAATCCTAGATAAAAAAATCCTCGCTAAATGAGGGCGAAATCTCTGAGAAATGTTTTATCTACTATTCAATCCGTCTTCTGAAAATTTGACCTTCCCAAGCTCTTTCAAAACAAAAAAATAAAATAAATGCAGTCTCCCCGGGAGCAATCAGAATTTTCGGAGCCCACATATATTTCTTTTGTTATATTGCATGCAAATTATAAATACTTTATAAAGTTCACTGACCATTAAAATATACATGAATTTATTTATTTATTTTTGCTAGTAATATAAACTTTTAGTTGCTTCCAATATTTGTAGATTGTAATGAATCAAATTTCTTGTCCCAATTTAGGTATTAAGATCTGACTTTCAAAGAGAGTATATGTTATTTGAATTTCATGACTTGCCTAAGAAAGGAGGAATTGCTTCTCAACAATCATGTTCCTATGCACCTCAACAAAATGGTATTACTAAACAAAAAAATTGTCACCCTTTAAATTTTGTCTGAACTTTATTGCTACAAATATCAATTCCACCGGTTTGACTCTCCCTATAACTGTCTCTTTAAGAAGCATCCCGCCTACTATGATGCGTATACATTGTGTGTTTTCATCTACAAGCCCCATGAGCAATATAAACTCTGATTATTTACTGCAAATGTATGGGCTATAACAAATACAAAAATGTTATATTTGTCGTAATCGATGCTCCAAAAGATTTCATTTATCTCATCTCATCATATTCATTGGAAATCAATTTTTTTTTTTTCTAATTATATTGATCTTCTGCCATGGATACATGTTCTTCTAATTTTAAAGAATTAAATTCAAGTTCTGAAAAATCCAAACCAATAGTTGTATATGAAAGAATGCGCTCTGTTACCATTTTTTGAGCCAAATCTGCCATTTCAGCATGCGCAAATTGATCCGCCACCTAATTTTACTAATTAATATTTTATCACTGTTCTATACGATGTTCTATAACCTCTCTTTCTCCAAAATGATATTATTTTCAAATTATATTGGCCTCAATATTCATTATTTGTGTTATTTAGATGTTAATAAATATGACTGTTTGAATGACACTATAATTGAAAGAATTTGAGGTCTCTGAAAAAGAAACCGTACATGGAAGAAGTTCATAATCCTCCACATGTTAAAGTTATTTGCTATAAATGAGTATCAAAGCTTCACATTGATGATATTTTGGATCACTCCAATAAAGGTATAGTTAACCTTTGTAATAAACGACGATATGATATTGATTGTGAAGAAACTTTTACTTCTGCAGCTGAATGACTCATAACAAGACTAATTCTCTTAATTGCCACTTCACAAGGATGACCGCTTCATCAAATGGACATTAAAAATACCATGCTTCAATGATGATCTCAAGAAGGTTTACATAACTTTTTTATCTGTCATTTCTACATCTACTTCATCTACTCCTGTAGATGCATGCAAGCTAAAGTACTCCTTATATGATTTGAAATAGTGCCCGTGCATGGTTTGATAAATTTCACTCAGTCCTATTTTGTTTCCCCTTCGAACAAAACCAATATGACTTGTCATTATATTTTTGCAAGAATATAATGACATTACTACTCTCTTTGTTTATATTAATGACATCAATATTAGCATAACAAATTTGAATCTGATTAGCTATATGCAACATCTTCAGGCCACGTTTCAAATGAAGAACCTTAGTGCTCCCACTTCTTAGGTTTGAAAGTTCATATTTATCCGTCTAATATTTCATTGAAACAGTAAGAATATATGTGGACTCTACTTATTTTGGTTATCCTAAGAATGCTTCCTTTATGGTATTCCATTATAAGTAAAGTTAAAGTATTGTAGTGAGTAAGGCGATCTCTACTTGATCCTATTAGATTTCGATAATTGGCAGGTAGATTAAACTATTTGATATTTACACAATCTAATATTTTTTGGTGGTACAAGTTAGTCAGTTTGTGTAAAATCTTCATTATTGATATTTAGCTGTTGCAAGTCAAATTATTCGATAAGTTATAGGGACACCAATACATCATTTGTTCTTTCCATCGTACTCTTCTCTTCACCTTGTGGCATATAATGATATTGATAGGGCATACATAGCTCCCTAATACTTGGTGATCAATCTCGACTTGAGTATGTTTTTTGGTAAATATTTGATTTTCTGCAGCGTAAAAAATAGTATCGTGTGTCTATATCATCTGCCAATCATGAATATCGTATTATACTGGCCACATGTTCTAAGATTATGTACTTCATATACTTCAAGCTGAACTTGTTTTGTCTCAAAATATATGCACCCCTCTCCCTTCAATGCCATTTGAATTATTTTCAGTTCTTATCATGAGCACACAAAAAAAAAAAAAAAAAAAAAAAAAAGAAGTTTATTGTCATATAATTCAAGAAGCCATAAAAAATCGTATTATTTTACTTCACCATGTTTCTGCAAATCTTCATATTGAAGAAATATTTATTAAGGCCATGGCATGAGAATGTCCAATTCTTATGGGCAAACTGATGATTTTCAAAAGTTGAACATCAAATTGAGGAGAGGTACTAACAAAATATGCATTAAATACCACAAATGCCTATCTGTTAATTATGAATACAAATAAATTAGTCTAATTGTAAATGATTGTGCTTTAGAAGTATAATTATAGGTTCTTTTTAGGTTAGAAGTAATTGAGAAGGTCACCTAATCATTATCTTATTATGATGCCTAATTATTTTCTTTAAAGAGAAGAAGCAAACAATTATTACAAGTAAATGTACTAATAAAAGAAATTATCTAGAAGATACAAAATAGTAGTCTTGTAATCATTATATAAATATTATAAATTTCTAATAAAATATAATGCCCTTTTGATTATTGGCCTTGCACTCCTGTCAAATTTATTTTTCAGGATCTCCTAACCCAATTTTTTATTTTTCTTCATGTACCTCGATTTCCGTTTGAATCAAATTGGTCCAATAAATTTGATATAAGCATTTATTTCACCTCCCCATAAGATTATTCTTTACCTCAATGTTTAATATATATATATATATATATAACAGATTTGAAACATATTTAGGATTAAACAAGCTTTTTTTTTTCTATTTAGATGAATTTATCAAGCTGTCAATTTGACATGCAAAAAGATGGGTAAGAAGTAACGAAATATGCAAGTGACTGTAATATAAGGATATCCATGGATAAGATTTGATTATTGTAAATAGTATTCATATTATTATCTTACATATAAATTTTTATACATATTATATATAATTCAACTATTTCTAAGAATACACATTTAGAATAATCATAATCCATCACTGTTATATTCAAAATATTTTATTCATAATATACATTTAATAATTATATTTTAATTGTAATATCTAGAATATGATGATTTTTAACATAAGAAATCATCAAAATCAAAATTGAAACAAAGACCAAAGCTGAACTTTGACAGATATCATTACTCAAATATACTAGAATCTATCACATTTACTTGATTTTCTATTGATATTCTCAAGCAATTATGCCAAAACTCAAATTATTCACCAAAAGATGGTGGTAAAATTGCTGACCTCTTCACATTTAACCACCAGAAAAACAAATAAATGAAAATTTAAATCTTGGAGGCATGGTTATAACTTATTAAATACATGCGGAAAAGAACAATGAAAAACATAAGAGCGGCGGGAGGAGTATCTTACTGAAGAACATGAGACGCCATGAGCAGCTCTGGCTCACCTCCCCAGACATGTGGCTGTCTAATTTGGGAGACATAATCGTCAAAGCTCCCCTCAATAAACCTGATAATTAAACAAGATTTAAGACTCCTGGTCAACAAGGCTATTTGCCTTGCATGTAAACAATATGTCAAATTATGAATCAAAATTATTAAAGATACATGCCCCTGAACAACTAGGCAAGAACTTGTGCTGACGAGCATAAGCAAAGGTGGAAAATTTGAAAAAAAGAAAAGCTTACCATTCTGTCTCTTCTCGTCTCTTGATAAATTCATCAGCAATCTGGTCAATTGTATGACTAAGTATTGTTGTCTAAATAAAACTATTATCAAAATAGTACTTCTATACAAACTAACATTGAATCAAACATTCCTTTAAATCATAATTTGGTGTCAAAATTCCAACAAAAAATTAGACCTACCAAGTCTCTCAATTCATCAGCAAGTTCTCGTTGAAGAGTCTCATCAGGTATGGATTTTCCAGCCCGGATGCACGCCCCATGGGCCACAGAGCGAAACAAACATCTGCCATCGCCTGGTATGCCTGGCAAAAGGTTTGAGCCAGGATTAAACAGAACAAACTAAAGAAAAATTTAAAACTTCTTAGTAAATAACATAGACTACCCTTGCATTAAGCACTTACTAACCAGTTATGGTGTAATCGGTGCATACTTCCTTTCCATGAGAGGTTCTCAAAGATGATAATTTATCGACACCATTCTCAGATGCTTTTGCATTTACAACTCCAGATGAAGAAAAACTTAAGCACAGTCCAAAGGAGACAGCCGCAGCCAATGAGGTCTGCCTTGCATTCCAACTGTTTTTTGGAATTTTCTGAGATCCGGACATGGGAAGCCTCAAACTCATACTTCGGCAGCTTGATGTTAATCCTAAATTCAATTCACATCTATGAGAGCATACTGAAGCAGACAAGTTAAGTGGATGGACACCTCCAATTTGTTTGGAAAAAGAGAGAGCAAAATTAGGAGATTTAGATACTCGAAAGCCATTCAATGGGGAAAGAAAAGACCTCCTTATGGTCAAGTCCATGTATTTACGGCGGAAATGGCTTGAATGTATGTATAAACTAGAGGAGCTACATCGTGGTATAGGCACTGAAGGAATGAAACCAAACATTTGCTTCAATACCTCTCAATCAGCTAGAAATTCTAAAAATTTAGCACATAAATGAATTTTCCTTCTTTCCAATTATATCGCAGGTAATTAAACATCTCTCCAATCGTCATGGATTTGTCAACAACTCATTGATCACAGTTCAGTAAAATTTCCAAGTATGGTGCAAGTTGCTAAGTTTAGCAAGGCCACAGTGCGGATAGAGATTCAACCTGCACAAACTACCTAATTGTTAGTACATAGATAACATTGCCTTCATGATAAATAACACACTTTAATATGGGAACATCTTGTGATATCAGATTTCCAAATGTAGATCTTGAATAAGATACACTGAATCACTCGAACTTGCAAATTCACAACTAAAAAAGCCTTATTTCTGACAACCATTTGCTTCTTTAAATGTAAACTGAAAAAATGCTTATAGTTCTAGTCAAATTATAATTTAATAAATGTTTTATTAGAAAAAAACATATAAAAACTTGGAAATGAAAATTAGATGATCAATTGGAACTCACACAACTAGAAAATACGGTTGTACCATATTTAACAAAATTCAATCATATAATCAAGCAATTTATAGAAACTGGAGAGCAAAGGATACGAAAATACCAAACAAAATAACTAAGCTTCAAATCGGTATGTTAAATATAGCTTCCTCAAGTTTTAGAAAGCTAGAAGGATTTGCATTCAACCATAAATTTGTTTCTTTAAGGTAGAAATCAAGCAATTCTTCTTGGCCTGAATCGAGAAAAAAAGTAGAAATCAAGTACAATAGTTATTTCACATGCCTAATGCACCCTTATTTATAATCACAAACCTTCCAACAATTTATAAATATCAGAAGAAAAGTTGTCCTTCCTTTTAATTCCAGAAGCAATATCTACAGGTAACTGATGAATTTAGAACCAAAGAAGCTACTAACTGTTGGGCAAATCCTCTAACAGATCACAATCAAGCAATGGAATGAAACCGGACAACAAGAGTCATATAGTGGAGTTAATGATATTTGTGATGGGGATAGCTAAATGGCAGCGCTCATCCTTTGAAGTTCATTTTGACCATGCTCTGGCAATTCACTATTTATGGTTTTGATATACTGTACTTGTGTTAAGAAGACTTCTCAAGGAAATGAATCTTCCACAACTTGAAGCGACAAAGATCAACATTCATAGCAAATAGGCAATCACATTAATAATTGGATCTAGTTCATCATGAAAAGAGCAAGGACGCCGGCACGCACTATCATTGCATTTGACAGTGCACATAAAAAAAAGAAAGTAGAGTTTATTCATGTGAAGCGAATAATCAAGCTGCAAATATCTTCACCAAAACACTTGTGGAAGCTCTATTTCATAAAAAGATAATTAAGTTTAGGGAGTTTTGAAAATCAAATTTAGCTTAATTTTAATTTAATAAATACATGTTGGGAATCAAGCAAAACCGGCTTCAATCACTGAAAGCAAAAGATAATATAAAATAGAAAGTAGAAAATGCACAAGACACACCAATACTTCTATAAAAGTTCACCCAATCGATTTCATCCTATTGCCGCCGCTACGTATTTCAATATGGTATTGATTGTGAAGTTTTTATAAGGCAAATTTCTCAAATTTAAGTATCATAGTGGAATTCACTGAGGAACAAAAGTTCAGGACCATACCTGAACATTATAAGCATCATGTTTCAAGTATGAATACAATAAAAGTAGATCATGTACATATGGAGTATGCAAACACTCATGAGCATGCTAAGGGTCAATTTCAAAATTGAAGCTTGAACCATGGATATTTTGTATCATCTTCATTTAAAGTAGTATTTTATATATAATGCAAGTTATTTGAACCTACAAACTCCTCAAAATCCTATTTTATTTCCTTGTCCAATTTAGCCATTCATTTTTTCTTAGTTTCTATCAAGAATAAATACATCAAGTAAACTTATAGGATAATTACTAATATTTGTTAAACAAATTCTAGTTTTTGTATAGAATATGTAATGTTCATTACTTTGAGAGAAGAAGACTGAACAATCTTGCTGTTGTGCATATATATTTGAACGAAAAAATGAGTGCATTTGCATCAATATAAAAAATGTAAGCAAATTCAAATGTTTGTCCGCACTCTTATAAATATATGTTTATGCACATTAATTATAGTGAACTATGTAGTGTGTACACAATACACATCAACAATTTCCTCCATAATATAGAGGAATTATCCATTAGATTAGTAGTATGCCAATGAGAATCGCTTAGAGCCAAGTTTGACGTCTAAAAGATTTTTTGTAAATTTAACATGGTGCAAATTGTATTTTATATAGAAGTCTTCATTAAACCCGTGTGTGTGTGTGTGCAATGCAAGTTATTTGAACCTACAAAATCCTATTTTTTTTCCTTGTCCAATTTAACCATTAAATTTTTCTTAATTTCTATCAAACTAAATACATCAAGTGAACATATAGGATAATTACTAATCTCTGTTAAACTAATAGTAGTTTTTGTATAGAACAATATGTATGTAATGTTTATTTCTTTGAGAGAAGAAGACTGAATAATCTTGCGTTTATGCAAATGTACTTGAACGAATAAATGAGTGTGCATTTGCATCAATACAGAATATGTAAGAAGATTCAAATGTTTGTACGCACTCCTAAGAATGTACATGCATTTATGCACATTAACTATAGTGAACTAGGTAGTTGGTACACAATACACGTATCAACAATTTCCTCCAGAATATAGGGAAATTATCCGTTAGATTAACAGTATGCCAAAGAGAACCGCTTAGAGCCAAGTTTTACATATAAAAGTTTTTTTTGTAAAGTTAATAGGATGCAAACTGTATTTTATATAGAAGTCTTCATGATACCCGTGTATGTATGTATGTATGTATATATATATTATATATATATATATATATAGATAGATAGATAGATAGATAGATAGATAGATAGATATAGATATATATCTAATGCAAGTTATTTGAACCTATAACTCCTCAAAATCCTATTTTATTTCCTTGTCCAATTTAGCCATTAAAATCTTCTTAATTTCTATCAAGAATAAATACATAAAGTGAACTTATAGGATAACTACTGATATCTGTTAAACTAATAGTAGCTTTTGTATAGAAAAAATGTATATAATGTTCATTTCTCTGAGAGAACAAGACTGAATAATCTTGCATTTGTGCATATGTACTTAAATGAATAAATGAGTGCATTGGCATCAATACAAAATATGTAAGCAGATTCAAATGTTTGTGCGCATTCCAAAAGTGTACGTGCATTTATGCACAACAACTATAGTGAACTATGTAGTGTGTACACAATACACGTATCAACAATTTCCTCCAGAATATAGAGGAATTATCCATTGGATTAGTAGCATGTCAATTGGAATTGCTCAGAGCCAAATTTGACATATAAAAGTTTATTTGTAAAGTTAACAGGATGCAAACTGTCGGACTAAGCCGTCTTTTCTCTCCCATCTAAAGCACAAATGATTTGAAGATTAAAGCATTTTGCAAAAAGAAATTATCAGATGCAGACTGTGTGCATTGAGTTACATTCATGAAGAGGGAATATAAAACTGTGTAATCTCATTTTACAGGCATAGAGCTATGTACATGTTCTGTAGCTAGTAATTCCTTCTTTGTAAGCCTGGTTCCCAAAGAATACTTACTATTAAGATTTACCCAGTTCAAATAAAGGGCTCCATTTTTTCAAAATTTTAAGTTGAACCAAACAATTGCAATCTTGGAGGGGAAACTACAAGCTTATTGCAAAAACAAAGGTGCACTGATAATCAAGACAACTAAGTCGCCATATATATAAAAAAAAAAAAAAAATTCACCATATTATTTCTGGTGTCATTTGGTCCAATGTTACATAAATATCATTATCATATGGATATAATGGCACGCTACTTTATTATAACAATTAACTATGATTAGTATCTTTCTTTCAGCATCATATCTTACAGCCATAAAAGAAAAAAACAATTCAAATCAAGATATCCTCATTCAAATTAAATCAGAACATATTTTCCCGTTATTAGATTTGCTATGATGAGTGAAATAAAAGTTTTGATTAGTCACGTATCTCAAAGCAAATCTAATGGCAATAAAACTCATCATGATACAATTTGGGCCAGGTAGTCTAATGAAAAAAAAAAAAAAAAAACAGTAAGAGTAATCAAAATCAAAATCACTGATTTGCACCCTAAAAATTTATGAAAATAACAGCAAATTTGTAGCTAAACACATACGCATGCCAACTATCTCTAAAATAAAGTTAAGAACAAGTTGCCAAAAATGAACAATAAATGCTCATAAATTTGGCCGCTGTATAGAGTTTAAATATCATTCGCGTTATTGCTATTCGTAAATATTCACAAATCAAACAACTGATACACATGAACAAACCAACATTAAATCAAACCAATCCCAACATAACCAAATATAAATGCAATTAAACAGCTTAAAACAGAAGGAGATCAAAATGTTCGTTCTTCCACCTGAAATAACTCTACCACCCGCTTAAAAAAACCATAAAAGAGCAAACAAATTGAAAGTAACCAACAAAGCAAACCCAAGAAGAAAAAATGGGCATCCCCTTCGAATACAAAGAAGGCGCGAAGGGAAGGATAGAATACCGTAAACCAACCAACTTAGCCAAGAATTACAGCAAAAACAGCTATGGAATCCATCTCGGAGGAAGAAATCCGGTCCTAGCGCGGATTTCGCTCGAAACTCCCTGAAGAGATACGCCGGGACTTTTTTATTATTTTCCCAGGTTGCAGGTGAGACACCGACACCTACCCACCGTCCGTGCACTTGACCAAGTTGAATATCAGCCGTTGAAAGTATTATCTTTGCGCTGGCTGACTCGGGAGAGAATGGGTCTAACCTAAATCGACACGAATTGAACCGCTTATTTCTGGCAATCTCCTCCTGGGGAGCACGTGGTGGTTTCCAACTAAAACCGACCTGATTTTCTTGAATGTGTCATTCTGTTTTTATTGGCTCGATTAGCTCTTATAGATTATTTTTATGCGGTAAATGACTTGAATTCCAGTGGATTAATATTTATTTAAGTATTTTAAGTTTATATTTGAATATTTATTTAAGAGTTTGTTTAGGTTATTTTTTTGTTTTGATTTTGATTTTTATTTTAAAAATATATGTGTGTTTTTAAATATATTTTTATAATTTATTTTGAAAAATAAATTAATTTTTTTTTTTAAAACATTCAAAATAATTTTTAGATCTTTTAAATATTTTTTAACAATAATCATACTTAGTCAAATAAATATGTTTTGTTTCAACTTAAAATATAAAAAAAAATTAAAATAATGATAATAAAATGGGGAAAAAGTTTTGATCCTAAATGACCCCTAAGGATTTGTTTGGGATCAATTTTATTCTTTTTTTTATTATTTTCTTTTATTTTTAAAAATATGTTTGCATAGTGTGTTTTTTTTAATATTTTTAATCGTTGTGTGTAAAAAAAAATAACATGTTTTTAACATTCAAAATGATTATTTAATATTTTTAGTGTTTTAAAAACTAAAAATATTTTAATTAGATATGTCAAACATATATGCTTTCGAAATAAAACATAATTAAAATAAAATAAAAATGAAAAAATTAAAAATAACAAACAAAAGTGATCATAAATGACCCTAAATAAATTTAATATAAACTTTGTTTAAAGGTAATCTTTGAGATCCTTTTAATTCTTGTTTTTAATATATATTTTTTATTTTGTTTATATTTTTAATTGAAATAAAATATATTTGGTATGTTATAATATTTTTAATTGTTTAACAAAATACTCAAAAATACTATTTAGATATTTTAATTGTTTTTAAAAGTAAGCTAACTTATTTTATCAAGAAAATTAAAGAACGAAAAAAATAAATTAAAAACATATTTTCAAAATAAAAATAAAAATAAAGACAGAAACCGCACAAACAAGATCCAAGATTTTTTTTAACCCACGCACAAACCTTGAACTCAAGACTTCTGGTTAAAATCAAAAGACCTGATCACTATGCTAATTTAGCTACACAAATAACCTACTATATTTATTTATGCAACAAGGATTATGTAATAAGGACAAACACAAGAATATTATTTTGCTCAGTTAAAATTGCCCATAAAAAGGGCTCACACTCTAACTATAGAAGATGAGGAAAACTTAAAAATTGATATTAAATCCTCAAGATGAGAATTTCATTAGACTCCATTTGAGTGAGTTTTGAAGTAAATATTATGTATACTTTTATATACATATGTGGGCAAGCTAAGATGTTGACCAAAATAGATCTAACAATTTAAACTATTATGAAGGACTTCCCAACATACATACTTGATGTTTTAGTTATACATGTGATCTATACTCTATACACAAAGTTGAAGTCATGCAATTATGTGAGTTGGCGAGTCAATGATTATATACTAATACATAGGGTTGATAACACATGTTATTATATTATATGTACTTTGCATAATCACATTGTTCGTGAGTCGCATCAAAACTCAACTTTATATGATGAAATTAGAAAGACGAAAAAAATTAATAAAATAGGAAGTTAAATCAACTAATGAATGACTTGAAATGCTACAGAGTACAGAGGAGAAGTATGAAAAATTGAGTTGGCCTTACCCAAGATCTCCTATTTATAAGTTAGATTATGAGATCCCAAGTGTTATAAGAAAATCTATAGTGCATGCAATACATATATGTAAAAAAAAATAAAAAAGTGCTAGAAGGCTACTACATTGATACTAGCTCAGGCAAGAGGGTTGTCTTGTTGAATAACTCTCTTAATAAATCAAAGTGAATTCAAGATCATAGTTAGCCCATTTGGCCTAAATAGCCCATGGAAGAAAAGTTTGAAGAAGGTGAAATATTCTTGGAGCTATAATGTGATTCTTTTGGGGGACCATTGTATGAGCTCTCCTTGTTGTTAGTGGATAAAAAACCTTGATCCTAGCCAGAAAAGGCCGTGTTTTGGCTTAGTGATCCCGATTGTCTATATGCAACAGTATAACAATGAATTTGATGATCTTTTTCACTTATGATATCTTACTTTACAACAAAACCAAAAAATTGATCCTGGAGAAAATAAGAATTTAACTTTTTAATTTATATATATGGATACTACGCAAGTATACATATCGTTATCAAGTAATATAAGACTTTTTGATTACGACCTGAATATCGAACCCACAGAGAAATATGTAATATGCACAAACTTTCCATTTTTAAAAAGACAATTACTTAAACTATATATATTTTCTCAATAAGTAAGATTCAAATTTTTTTGGTATTTTTAATATTTTGACAAAATAGTAAAATTTCTAAAGATAGTTTGAGTTTATGTAAAAGAAAAACACTTGATATGAAAATATCTTTCTCCTTATCATGAATCAGTAATAAGTATAAGAATTATGTTGTGGAAGTATGCAAATTGTGTTGTGCCAAATATGAGCAATAATATTCTTTACCCTGACTAGAGATGCTATAAAGAACATTGACTAATTTAAAGTTTGAATAGTTCTGAAGACCGGCTAGGCAGAGAATATACCAGCTCTCACTCTAGAGTTCCCTCGATTCCCTCCACCTGGGGGCTAACATCTCGTATCAGAAGCAAAAATAATAAATTAAGCTGGGGGCTTTAGCCTGCCACTCTAAAGTTCATTAACTCAACACCCTTCAAAGATTATTTCCTTATTTATTTGCACTAAATCATATGAATTACATTCTCATTCATACAATCTCGTGTGATTATTTCTAGTGATTAATCTCGTGTGATTATTTCTAATTGTTGACTGAGACAATACCAACCTGGTTCTTACATGTTCTCACAACAAATTTTATTATCTGGATAGGCCAAATAAAGAATAAATGGAGTACATAGATTTAAATCATCACAACTTCTTCCAACATTAAAGATAAATACTTTCCACAACTTCCATCCAAACCTTAAGTACTTATCATTTTAAGTAGAAATATAAAGAAAACTACTAAGAATTCATGGAGAAAATAAAACCACAAAGTAGAAATCAATGTCATATCAATGTCATACCAACAAGAAGTCTTGATTAAAACCAAAAGTAGTTTAAAAACAAAGATAAAAACTTATCTCAAATCCTCCACCAAACTCTTGAATTTCCTTTGGATATCTTCTCTTTTACAACACTCTTGACTCTTATAATAAAACTAAAAAAAGGATAAAATAAATTTTGTGGTGCCTGAATCTCTCCACAAGATTCTCCACGATCTTCTTCTCAAGACTCAACACTCTCTCCCTCTTCAAGCACCACACACAAATGTCTCAACTTCCTTCTTTTATAATTTCCCAAGAGGTGCCTTGGAAACTCTTCAAAATGTGTCCAAATTCGATATATTCTCCAAGGGATTCCTTCTTTCACAAGTCTTTTAATAAAATTTTCGTTCCTAGTGGTAGTAACCACCCTCTTTAGCCAATTGGTGCCTCAAATGTCTTCAAAATTTGGCCAAATGAAGAAAACCACCAAATAATTGTCTCTGCGCTTAGGCGCGACATTCTCTGTTTCAGCGGTGCTTAAGCGTCGGATCTGACGCTTAGGCACCAAAACACTTTAGCACAGTTTTCACCATTTTGCTCCAAATTTGATCATTTTTCACTCCTTTTAGCATTTTTCACCTTTTTACTTGTACCTGAAAGAAAAACACACAAATACTTTCCATTAAAGCGCAATATCTCAAAAATAGATATAAAAATGTTTCTAAAAACACAATATATTTTAGGTGTATCACTTAGCCGGCAAAATACTTCCATCAAACTTGGTGAACGAGCCCATAATGAATTTGGTTGAATGATGTGATGGTGATTCTAGCCCAGTTAACTTGTCAGCTTTACTCTTTCTCAAGTGGATTTGAGTCAGATGTGTATATGGTTCATGATTTTTAATGGATTAATCTCTACTCTTTTAAAATGTAGATTGGCTAATTCTCTTCAAATTTAGTAGATATATGTTATAATTATGTGAATTGTGTTTTTTTTCTAAGAACATATTATCCACTAATATGTATATATTGGAGGCAATGATGAAAACTAATGAATTAATATTTTATCTAAAGGAAGGATCAATGGGTCCCTAAGGCTCTAAGTGTACATATGTTCAACTTAATAATAAGTGTAAGAAATTATATAAATTTTAGATAAGACTACATATAGTCATATAAGAGTTTACATGAAATTATAAAATTAAGATTCAAGTAAACTTTTCTGTTCAAAAGAGGCTCAATTTTTAAATAAAAAAATGCCTAACCTCACATGAGGATACTTTAGAAAAAGAAGATATTCTAATCTCACATAAAACAAAAGCAATTATGTAAACAACCCATAAGTATAAGGATAAAAAGAGAAGCTATGACTTATTTGGTGACCTTATATCACTGGGAAGCCTCTGGTTGTGTTGAGTCAACTGCCATCACAACCGGTAGACTTAAGGTATATATAGTTTGGGATGATGGATCTTTGTATCCTGACCCAACTACCTCTACCTTTTTAGAGGATTTTTTCCTTCTTATTGACAACTTTTTGAAGACCTATCAATTCCTTTGACAAAACATTGATATCGTCTTATGGGCATCGCATGCCTAGGCACCACCACCTGTAGTGGTTACTGTGATTCATTCTCTGTCCTATGGCAAGATATAAATGTCAAAAACATCAAAATTTTCTCTTGAGATAATTTACATCCACTGGTTTCCAAAATAATCGAATTTCATTAAATTATGTAAGCAGGTCCTTTCTTATAGAGAGTTTTCTTGGGTATCCCCCAAGA